GCCAATGTTTTCTCTTGTCTCGGTAATTGTTTGAACACAGGAAACCATGTGTGATCTATATAATTATTCAATTGTCATCCTAGAATTATTGAGATTCAAATGTTTGAACACATCAAAAAACGAGGTGTGATCTATATAATTATTTAAGTGTCATTGAACATTGATCCATGTGTGGTCTCATTATTCAAATGCCATCACATTCGTCGACATTCAGATGTTTAAATATAGCAAACAATGTGTGATCTCTATATTCATTGTCATCGTAGATCCGTTAATACTCACTGAGGCTGAAGTGGTAATAACATAGTCTCAGACAGTGATAAGTTATTTGAGGTCATTTTAATATTTTTCAAGAACAATATATAGAAATATTGCTGTCGCATAGTTTTGAGGAATTTGGTATAATTTGTTTATCAATGTATCAGTCTTTAAAAATATAAACACATTTTTGGTCAGTGACTGGCAAAAAAATACATTGGTTTCATTTTCAGTTAAATGTTGACCACAAAGATAGTAAAATATATTGATGAAAAACTTAGATTGTTTACAGTTTAAGTGTGATTTATAGATTTTTATGGCAGCTTTAAGGAAGTTTTAAAATAATTTTCCTGTTGCCTTTGGCAACACACATTTTCAAATCATGCATCTACTACATCACGAGACATTTATATGTCACTATCATAATTTACATTTCAAATTTAAAAAAAAACGCTTCTGTGGTCTAGGGGTTAGGGCAACCACATCGGTGCGGGGCGTCTCGGGTTTCGAAACCCGGCTGAGTCATACCAAAAACTTATGAAAATGGTACTAAAAGCTACCTCACAATACACTTAGCATGAAGAGGTTATTGCTAGGAAATGGTCTGCTTTGTTAAGTCAACTGATTAGTCCTAACTAACTGCATAGACCCAGATCTGCTGGCACATTTGCGGCTGGTTCTAATTTATAAGTGAGTATATATGGTAGGTGTGCTTTTTATATGATCAGTTTAAAAATACGCCTTTTTTAATATTTTATTGCAATGTAAAGAAGGAAGTTCTTTATCAGAGAGTGGAAAGGGAATTCTAGTTAATTTATAAGAAAAATTCTTACATACTGTAAATCACATCACTTTTAAATTTCCTTATATACTAGTTTATAAATCGAGCATGTACAATTGAAAACTCAGTTGACCCATATCTGCTGTCCCATAAATCCCCTAGTTTGTTCGGTCTATACTTTTGTTAGGATATCAGTAAAACAAAAAGCAAAACATGTTACTATTCTTTTTACACAATCAGCTACAAAGTGTACATATTTAAATATAAGCATTACAATTACTCTCTCTCTCTCTGTGTGTGTATATATATATATATATATATATATATATATATATATATATATATATATACACACACACACACACATTTATGCATTGCGCTCAGCTCAAACCCGATGAGCCTTTCCATTGCTACTGTCTTCCGCCAAATTCAGTGTTAAATTTCTTAAGCCTCGGTGTCGAAATTCCTGCGGCTAGGATACGTTATACGGATGACTCCCATTGTACACCAAAAGGACTGTCCTGCAAAGCCAGTGCATCCTGTTTCCATCAGTAGATTATATTCCTTCTGTACATTTTATTGGCAATCACAGACGAATGGCCGATACTTGAGGAATTTACTTTCATGGGCCTTCTCCATTCTAGCTTCCATAGCACCATCAGTTCTAAAATCACCTGTTTGGTATTGCCTGACCACAGTACAATATCAAGCCTGAAGTTGGCGACTTACTTATATCTGCATTTCCCAATCTGTATTCATGGTACCTCTTGTTTCACTATTTTGCCTTTAAGTCTCGCTGCTGAAGTTGGGACCGCTTTTCACTTGATGTTTATTGCTCCTGTCTGTTTCTATATTGGATGCGCTCTCAGCAAACATTTGGTCATGGCGACAATAATCGCGACATTCTGTCACAGATACATTCCAGCATGATATTAAAATACAAATAGTACCAGGTCAAATTTAGTAACCATTATTAACGTATCATTTCAAAAAGCCACTGCACGAAAATATTATTCGGCATTCTTGAATTTATATGTATGTACAAAGTAAGTGTGTGTGTGTGTGTGTGTGGGTGTGTGGGTGTGTGTGATTTGGATTTTTAACGTTTAACGTAGCTTTAACAATTGCTCAGGCATATGACTACTGTGTCTGCAGTGTGACAGTTTATAGCGATGTCTAGCACAGAGGCATCATGCCGCAAACATTACATCATGTCCCACCAGGTCACATTATCCTGATACCTGACCGAAAAGTCCTAACGCTAACCACTTAATGCTGAGCGCCAAGCAGGGCAGCTGCTAGTACCATTTTTTAAAAAGTCTTTGGTATGACTAAATCGGGATTCGAATCCGCGACCTCCCTCATCCGAGGCGGACGCTCTGATCATATAGGCGACCTAAGCGATCGTATGTACAAATAAACATTTAGATAGTAGCCTAAAATGGACATTTGTAGCAAGTAGTATGTTTAGAAATCATTTGTGATATAGGTAAAATATGGTGCATAACAATTAGTAATTGACAGTTGACCAGAAGCAAACGATCATTCATTTAATCTGAAAAGACTAGCTAATGCCCATACTTAAACGGGAGTGATAAATGAAAGTTTCAAGATAAAAATATTTGTAAAAGTTTACAAAAAATGGGAACGTTGTTTTTCAAGATAAAAATATTTGTAAAAGTTTTAAAAAATGGGAACGTTGTTAATAAATTGTCAGCCCCGAACCCACCCCAAGATCAAAATCAGGAACTGATTTACTTAACATTAAAATTTTTGGATAGAAAAAAGATCATGAACCATTCCTTTTATAATAACAAAAATAAAAAACCAGTCGAATAATTAACAATACAATTTTTAAAAAATACAGTCGGAACGACCTCAGCTTTTTTTGTGAGAGAAAAATATGCCACTAGTTAAAAGAGCATGAATTCTGCTAATCAGAACATTCTTCGCCTTAATTTCTTACTCTACCACCTCCAACTCGCACGTACTAGTTGAAAAATGACAGTAATGCTTAGTGACATTTTAAACAAACCTACACTATTTATTTAATCGACTTTGTTGTAATTAATAAAAGGTAAAGACCGTTGGCGACACACCTAGGACTAACTAATTTGAAGCTACTTATTGCCATCTTATTTTTGCATTACTTTCGCCTTCTTGAATTTGTCTTCCGGAATCGGCCATTGGATGGTAAGTGTCTGACCTTGTAGGCTAAGAATCGTGGAAGGCAAGGGTACCAGGCTAAAAATTTCCCAGCATAAAAAAAAATAAACTCAATCCATTCGGCATCATTCTCATGCCGTTTTCCAACTGGATTATGTGTAGTATTAATAGAGAAGTTACGAATGAACAAATAGTTCAGTGCATTCGCAACTTCTCGATCAGCCTTTATTATGAAGATTGTTGTTAAACGCAAACATTTTAAATATGATTTGAATGACTGACGTGATGTGAATTCTCATTTTATTATATTCTAAGCAATAAAGTCGAGGTATTTATTTTTTTTATAAATATAGATATATTCCGAATTTTACATTAAATTTAATGTTAAAAATAGAAACATTACAAAAATCACGAATTAACCATAAAGCCGGGGTTTCGTAGTATCATTATAACGAAAAATAAACAAACAAACAAAAATCCCCCCAAACAGTATTCTAAACATGCATAACAAAAACCGAGGTCATCCGGCTGGCGGCTATCTTGTCACCAAGCAGGAATAAATCCCTGGCCTCCCATGATGCTGCATATGGGGACAACCACGCATCATTGAACTGCATTCACATCATCAAAGTGAAGCCTACGTATCATATCTCGAATTTACACTAATAGCTACCACGAGATATTTACGAAACAAAGCTCGATCTAAAAGTTACGAATGCAACGAACTATTATTTTCAGTCGTGACCACTCTGTCAGTCCTAGAATCAATCCAATATTAGAAATAATGGACGTGGTCCGAATACATTGGGGTTTTTTTTGGGAAGAAATTTTGTGCGAACAAAATTAATGATTTTCTGTAAAGTATTGTGCGGATATACTACAGAGGCCAATTTCTGTTTCACAGAAATAGTCGAGGTTATTCCGAATGCTTTGATTGACCGATAACGCTTAATCAACTTCGAGTTCAAACGTATGGATCATACTTCGAATATGTCGATCACTGACGTTCGAATCACATGGCCTATTTATGATATAAGGATTGACCGCGAAGTGACAAAATACCGAACAATTTCTTTTTTTCTGGTTCTCCCAGTCTATCCAACTGTAACGGCGTTGGTGTATTCCGCATATGAGTGCATTGTCTGCAACATAAAATTGTTTTCCGTTTGCATGTTGCGTTACATCAAGTAATATCAAGTAATATAAATCCTGAAGTCAAAATATCACCAATGCCTGACTAAATTAAAGGAAAATATTTTTAAGTTCCAAGATGATATATGTCTATTAAAAAATATCGTCAGGATCGTCAGTATCTAATAGCGACCAGGTAAATATTGCATCTTACTTAAAGCAGATCATAATGTTTGTATAATAATGCTCAGTCAATATATACATAAATCGAATTATGTCAGTGTCAAACGAATCGGCGATTTAAGACATTGATCTGTTCTATGAGCATGTTTTTTTTTTTTTATGTCGTACTAATATCAATACTTGACCTATCCAGATTTCCAGCATTGGCAACTACATCATAACTCGCTAAACTTTTCTAAACAAGATAGTGTCTGTGTGTGTGTGTTGAATTTTTAATGACGTGTCAACAATTTTTCAGGCATATCACTATGATGTCTGCAGTGTGGCAATTTATAGTGATGGGGCATCATGCCGCAGACATGTGACATTATATCCCACCCAGTCACACTATCCTGACACCAGACCGACCAGTCCTAACACAAACCTGTTAATGCCGAGCGCCAAGCGAGACAGCTGTGTGTACCATTTTTATGTCTTTGGTATGACTCGGCTGGGTTTCGAACCGGCGACTTCTCGCATCCGAGGCAAACGCGCTAACCACTTAGGCTACCAGAGCGGTCTAGTCTGTATGTTAAGAGCAACAACTTAGTACAAACATACGGCCCCGTCACTTTGCTAATTTTCCTGACTTACCGAAGTCAGTCTAATATATCTCTTGGAGGCAATTTTAAACTAATAACATTTCTTTCAAACAAGTCTGTTAATATGTGTTTTTGCAAAGGATAAAATTGTCGATGCTTATTGATATACTTCCTTTTTCAAATATATTTTCATCGGCGCGTAGGTTTGTACGTTGCATAGTTATTCGATTTCGGAGGTAAGTAAATTCTCTTCAGAATGAGCAGCAGCCCAGAATATTATAATTTTCAGAATATTTTGGGACAAAAGATATTACACCCGATGTCAAAACAAGTTTTCCAAATGAACCCGGTCTCGTATCATTTCAATGTAAAGTTAAAGGGCCTCCGATTTACCTTTTATTATCAATTGTTTTTGAATTTTTTTAGTCTTATCTTTAACATGAGGGAAAAATTAAAAACGTTTGCTTAAAAAGATATGCATGTAATCCGTTGTGTATGTTTATGTTGTGTTTTACTTTCTGTCCATGATTGTAGATTATGTATGTGTATGTCTGTGTGTGTATGTAATTATGATTTTTAACGTAGCTTTAAAAAATTTCAGTTATATCACTATGATGTCTGCAGTGTGGTAATTTATAGTAGTGTCTAGTACGGGGCATCATGCCGTAGACATATAGCATGATGTCCCACAGCCACATTATCCTAACACCAGGCCGACTAGTCCTAACACTAACCTCTTAATGTTGAGTTGTTAGCACCATTTTTGGATTGTAGATTGTACTTTAAAATAATGTTCAGTATCAGACAAAATGATGATACAACATTTTAGTTCAGAATATTCTTGAAACAATTTGTTGGAATTTTCCAATAATAATTGACTAGCATCTAGTAAGTTCTATAAGATTTTATTGTCTCGGTATAAATGGAGGCTTTCTGATTATGTATTTACTCTTGTTTCATTCTTGTTTCATTGCTATGATTAGTCTCTAGCATCATTTGTAGTAGCATTCGGCTGTAATTCGAAAGGAATTATTTGAATCATTCATTGGAATTATAAAGTGTTCATGAAAGGAATTAGTTGAACATTCATTGGAATTATAAAAAGTGTTCATGAGAGGAATTATTTGAACATTCATTGGAATTATAAAGTGTTCATGAGAGGAATTATTTGAACATTCATTGGAATTACCAATGTGCTTATTCACTACTTAGATTTATAAACACAACATAATTCGGTTATTGAGGTCACATTAGAAGATACTCCTGATTACATCATTGTAACACATCAGGGCATTCATTCATTCCGACCATTCTATACTTTTGAATTTATGATAGGAAGTTTAGGATTATTTTGGATTTAATTCAGAAATACTGTACGTGTTTTTTATTTATATTTTGTAACTTAGAAAAATACCTTGTTGATTTTACTCAAATTCTTGGTTTCACTTTCTTTCTGTTCTTATTTTAAGATATAGAGTTGTAACCCTATCTTTTTAAAATTACACCATCCCCAACCCCAATTCTATTCTGCTTTGCTCTTGTAAGAATAAATAATGCATGTTTCTTTAGATAATGTATATTTCTGTGTGAAACATATCAATGCACTTTGAACAGCTCGGTTCCGTGGCCATCCCAGCAGTGTGACTTTCCGTCGCAAGAATCAATGATGTATTTATCGTGACTTTTGTCGTAGTGAACGTCCAGATGATGCATGTGCCCCTCTACCTCAGTACTGAATGCTTCCACCGTGTGGTTTCCATTTTTCAGAAGATTAATTTCTTCTGGCGTTAAGTAAATATCGTGAATGTGCCTTCTCAGCTTACCGGTATGGCCATCGCTATTGGACATGTGGAACAGTGTCTCCGGTGCGTGATTGAAATTAATGTCGATGTGACCCGGGTGCTCAAACATTTTGACGTTCGCCAGGGTGTCCATCAAGATGTCCTTCAGTGCTTCCAATTCTTTGTAGATGGGGCTTCCCTCTACATGAATCGGCATCACAGGGTACCGAGTTCGAATCCTGTTGGCATCAGCAATGAGAGGAAGGATCGTGCGAATTCCGGAGGCGACCATTTTTCTGACCTGAATAGACACAATAACAACAATATATAGTTTCTGAATTTGAAAAACGATACATCAACAAAATAAAACCAAACATATAAGGCACGTTAAATACAAAGCATAATACAACAGGAAATGAGCAGCTTATGCAAGATATCACACTGATGTACAAAGTTTCCATATTGTATCCAGCCATTTTTGTTGCGTTCAGAACTGTATGCACTCCTTCATCATTGAAGATCTTTTAAGAAAGAGAAGAAATAATATATAAATGATAACAAAAATCTGCTGAAATAAGCTTGGTTGGCATTTCATGTTTACTTCAGTCCTCTGGTCAATACCAATCTTCAATAAAAGAAAATGTACTTAAAGAAAAACAAACCTTTTTTAAGTATGATATTCAAAACGTTGTTACTAGATTGATCGATACAGGCATCGGTTATTTCTATAACTGAATATTACATATGCGTCTCCAATAAATGGGAAAATTATTTAGCATCGAATATAATCTGTGAGTCGTAAGGTCGAGATCAACGACTTTGTACGCGACACTTCGTTGCAGAAAAGAATATGCAATTTTAAACTATTCAAATTTTGTTTGAAAAGTGGTAAGTTTCCATCGTAAGACTGATGTTTCTAAGCTCACCTGTCCACTGGTATCTAGCACACCAACTAGTTCTGATGAGACATCGTCACTGAATAATTCGGCCGGTGTTAGAAAGAAGTGTTTAGAATTGGTTCCATTAAACGCTGTTTCTCGTGTGAGTCCGCCATTCCGTTGACCACCTCCAGTAACGATATCATGCGGATCAGATCCATGGAAAGCCAAATTATATGGATTCCAGGACTGTAGGGGCGTCATCCAGATAACTTCAAGAGGGATCGCGTAGGTTACCCTCTTTTTGTATATGAAATGTTCCGTCTTGTGTGTTTTAGGGTTATATTGGCTATCTGTCACGGACAACTCAGCTATCATAGGGTTAGTCGTGTGAGCTGTAAATAGAGATTCATCTGAGTAACCCCTGTGCCTTATAGTTAACCCCATGGCTCCCGGCTGGCTGACCTTGAACCAGCGATGGTAGTATCCGGTGTTCAAGTCGGTGTTATTTCTATAATGAATGTCATAGTGCGACATATTGAAAGAATTGTCCAAGATATGTGCCGGGTAGTTATCTTTTCCGGGTATCTCATGCATGATTGAGTCGAGGAGGGAATAAATGTAACTCCTCTCAGACCACGATCCATACCCCTCCTCCAAATAGCTAAAAGCGTTGTTTTCCGTTGGACTAATGGAAAACCTTGCTCCATAATCACGAGAAAACTGTACCCGGTTCTTTCTATGACTTAGCTGGGTTGATAAATCATTAATTAACCGGAAATTTTGTAAACGCAGCGTCGTCTTGATAGGGTGGCATGCTATGCGGTAATTCCAGTGAGCATAAACCGGGGTTCCATCTTCAGTCACATTTATTATAGTTTTTGGAAGGTATGGTAATTCGTCAGACTTGGTTCCATCTCCCGTGTAGGCAGCAAACATATTTTTCTCCTGTAGCTGCTCCCATGTCGAGGCATCAACGGAATAAGTGTCGCTCTCGAATGGCTCTGAAAAATGATTTACATCAGTGGTCCATCCTCCTTCCAGATAGCACATGACAGGCTTGAAATATGACTGGTAGTTCTTGATAGAAGCATCCTGACGATAAAATGCCTTGAAGTATAATTTCATCAGCTTAAGTTGATCCGAAACGTTGTGTGCCTTCAATATATCAGCTGGTACTTCGGGAAACGGTATGTCAACCATTTTGTTATACGTCATGTTATGTGGGTCGGGCATTTTTAATTTGTAGTCATTATGACGCGTCCTGAATTGGACACCGTTTAAAACAGCTTCAAACTGGCCCATTCCTACCGTGTTAATGTAGTTTGGATGATCGTGGATATCCGCGATTGAGTCTCCTGCGTGAGTAGCTCCAAAGTAGGGTCTTGTTCCATCATAGTTATTTCTAACCTGAAATTTAAACGGTATTCACTACTAGTTTTACAAGAAAATAAAGCCGAAATCCATATTAGATTTCATATACTGTAAAACTATTATTTGTACGGGCTTTTAAGCAAGTGCGGTTACCTGTATGATATGTGAAACAATATCGGAAGTAAACCTTAAGTATCAAGCTCAAGATAAACAAAATTTCAAAGAAAAAGGACGATTACTGAGTAGAGTGATTCGAAAAAGTAATTTGGCAAATAAATATAGATTTTATTGCAAATAAATATTCCTCAAAATGAACTTTCATTCCCAACCCCACCTGCATTGTCATATGTTGCTCCATAAAATAAATAGGTAAATATATTTATTGAAAATACATATCCCCACCCCCATGTTTCTCTCTTGTCTCTGTCTCTTTATCTCGCTCACTTTGCACAGATGCGCGTCAAAGCGTGTTAGAACGATTTTAGAGAGCATAACTAAAAATAAACGATGAGGTCATTGAGTGTTAAAATAAATTAATTGTTATGAAAATAACACACACAACCACAATATTTTAGGGCAAACAAGAATACAATGTACAAACTGCTGATTTAAATAAGCTAGATCCAGCGAAAGAGGACTATTTGGTTTGCTTCTGTATCCGTGTACAATGACCAAGGGAATAAGATAAACATTTTAAGTAACTGCAAAATATGAACGAAGTAAAGAGCGTGTACGTGTCCGGTCGATTGACATATAAAGTGATATGAGAATATTCAATTGCTTATGTACGACCTTGTGGAACATGATCCGATATCCAGTTTGGATGGTATTGTCGACATAAGTTTGCTTTGCACTTCTGCAACACTTGCAAATTTTGTAACCGTGGAAAATACTTCCCATTAAATATGCACGCAATAGAGAACGATATACGCTGATAATT